ATCACCGCGGCGCCCTCGGCCACACATTCTTGCGCGTTCTGATTGTTGTGAACGGTAATTCCGTCAACAACTGAGGCCGGGGAAGAAGCTGCACAACCCATGGCTGTAACGCCTATCTGATGTCCGGCGATACAGCTGCCGGGGATCTTTACAATGTGTAGAAATTATCGATCCATGATGTTTTGAATTAAACTTCGGCAATCCGTGCCGAGTCCCGCTATTAGCGCACGTTGCAGAGCCATGCTTGATAAAAGGAGCTTAGACTGCATGCAGTCGTCAGTTCCCGAAAGCAAATGTCGGATCGAAAACAACTTTTAAGGTTCTACTGTTCCGAGTATTTCCTAATTAGGCTTGTGTCCACCACGTTCCTTTAACATCCACAACTAACTTCGAAGGATCTTCGTGCTTCGCAGCCATATTTTCTCTTTTATGGTAGAACTCTTGCTGAGAACATCCGGTAGACTTTATTTTAAAGCTTCTGACAGAATGATCTGTGTACATTTTAAACGAATCGGACCGCATATCCGATGAGTAAATAGCAGGATCTAGGTAAGCCTAAAATAGTTCAATATATTTAAGATTTTCTGCCCAATTTTAATTATTCATGGTGTTTTTACTATGGGTCGAATCCGCATAGGCAGTATGTTCCTTGCACAGTATAAACGTCAAGGTACATATCAGTAAAATTGTTGATATATTGAGCAAACATGCAACTTTTCTTCGTTTAATTGCTGACCGTTGAACTGGGTAAGTCAGAAGCTGTCGATGGTACCAGTGATTTTTTTATACTTCAGTAATTCAAGTCTAGCAATTTTATGGTTAAGGAGCTCAGCATTTGTGTGCATCTCACCAATTACACACGAGCATAGTCGATAAGAACGACGTATATACTATTCTGTTATGCTTATTCCACAGTAAACAACACATCTGTAGCCAGTTAGCGAATTTAAGCGTATTTTTTTAACTTTGGAAGTCAAACAGTGTCGAGAAGAAATAATTTTATAACGAGGAGCCGAAAGGGTTTTCTTGGTTTCTTACTATGGGCAAACATTTCTGACTTTTCTTCTTATGAGCCACTAAACACTTAGACGGTGCAACCAATTTCTTTATGATTGCACAGACAGTATTCAGCAGAGCAAGGAAGATGGATCACTAGAACCCCCGGCGTGCTGGTCTGTACGTTTAGGCTGACGTTAGAGTACAGCATCAGAAACAAGGAAATATCATTAAAAATAGAGCGACAGTTTGGTTACAAACTGGATTACGCCATAAAGCGAAAATCTCTGATACCGAAGCGCGTACATTTGCAGAGTTTTTCACCGTGCCCAGTATGCATACTTACATTTACTTGTGCTTGGTGCAGCTGCGACCAGGTCTGATCTAACTGGCCTCGATAATATCACGGACTGTACTCCTCCACGCATGGCGAGCCGCGGCAGCAGAGTTAGAGCGTTCAACTCATTCTCTTCGCCAACGACGGAGACCGAATACGGAAGGTCAAAGAACCACTTCCATGTCAGGAGTCAGGTCTTGAGTTGACCTCCTCCTCCTCCTTGACTCCTCCGAGTGAGGGAGAGTGCCGGATCTAGGGCAGCGACACTGAGTTCGTGGGGTGGACGGCGAAAAATGTGCGCAAACCACCTCAGTAGTATTTATTGGATTAACTGGAATATTCTTGCGATGCTGTCGCAGCGAGTGCGGACTGTGTTATTTGAGATGAAGTTGGTACACCACACTCGAAGTATGGTCCTCAAGCAGTAATGGTAAACTACCTCCAGTTTCCATTCATCTTCAACGCGCATAGGCCAGCATTCACAGTCGTATAGAAGAACAGGTCGCACAGATGCACGGTACACGCGAACCTTTGAGGCAATAGAAATATCACTTCGGGTCCATAGGCACTTTCGAAGGCTGGAGAAAACTCGTCGAGTTGCGTCGATTCAGGATACAATGTCATCTTTACTCTGCACATTCGCAGCATCCTCGTACCGCAAAGAAAACCTGATAACCTGGTACTTGAACGATGGACATACGGTCAGTCAGGTTGACTAAATTTTAGTCAGCTGAAGATTCCGCAGCTGAGTCGCTATGCGGTGCCGAGACTGGTAATGCCCATGGGTGTGACGACGTTCTCGTTCGTACACGCTTGAACACCCACTTCTCATCTGCGCCCAAAATACAACGCACTAGACGTCTCGATGTCGCCAAAATTCGGCAACCCAGCACTGCCGAGGTTCTGAGCAG